AACCTTGGTGATTCTATGATTCTATGATTCTATCTCATGTTGTATGAAAAGAGTGCCTTGGGAAAGCATCCCCAAGCCTGTAGAACAGCTTCTTTGTTGGGTTTCCTTCTCATTCCTGTCCTAATTTCAACTCCTACTCAACTATTTCTGGTAGATAAGCAACTTCATATAGAGATTTCTATGCTTCTCAGACTGAGAATTATAAAAACATATAGAATATATATAAGTGTAAAAATACTATTTTTGGCTGGCAAGTGGGTTGGCTGTTGGGATGTCTCAGTTGCACTTTGGCCACTGCCACATTTTCTTTCAACACTGGAACCAGAGAGATCTTCCTGGGAAGAGCAAAATGCATACAGAGTAGCTTACTGAGAAGAGCATGGCTTTCCTTTCTGTCATTTGTAGAAACAACTAATAACTAATATGTGGATTGAGCTTATTTTTAGTGTAGCTGGCTGAAGCAAGTGTTTATCTTCTGTTGAACACCTGCTGTTGCACTGCACAAACACAAGCTGCTAGAATGACCTCAGCACTTCTTTAGTTTTTATTCAAAGTCACTGAGATGTTTATGATTCAGTTGCCTCTCCCATCTCAGCAATAAATACCTACACAGAGAAGACCAGTAAATCTGCCATTCAAGCAGCAAAAACAACAACATGCCAATCTAATGAATGACTCCCTCACATTGTTTTTATTATGCAAAGAGGCCTTTTTCTGTAGTTCATCCAAGAGCACCATCCTGCAGAGGATACTTTATAATAATCCAGGGAGGTCCAGCAGAGATGGGCAACAGATCAGAGGAAAGACAATGTCATGTGCAGTAATGTAAGATGAAAAAGAATAGAAGGCGTATTTATTCATGAGCATTTTCTTAAATCTCGGCCCAGGAATTTTGCCACGTATTCCTTTATATGTGTCTTATATTTTTATGGAAGTGGCCTTTCAGACTTTCTTCATAGCTGTATTCATGAGTACCTGGATATTTAAACAGTGATTTATATGGTTTAGTCTCCCTTCTTAATTTCTAAGTAAGAAACCCAAGTGTTTGAATGCACCTTTTACTGCTGACCCACTAGCAAGGGATGATCAGCCTGAAGATGAAGTAACCTCTTTGCAAGCAAGTAAACCACAGATAAATGTCCACAAAGGGTATTTACAAACTCTTACAAGAAAAGCAGTATGAAAGAATGTAAGCCTGTGCATATAACATTTGCACACTGCAAAGAAGACTGCTTTCATTGGATAACTTTCTTATTACAATTAGTTCAGCTCTGAAGCACATGAAAAAGTAGAAAAGAAAGCAATCCCATAATGCGTTTTTCTACCTGCAGAAACAGTAATCTTACTCTGTTCTTTTTTTTTTTTTTTATAAGCAGTGGAAAAACAGGGTTGTTTCACTACTTCTGCTTTGCTGTAGAGCTAAGGAAGATGTGGCCTATCCGCATTTTTGTTTCCCTACAAAGACAGATTTTTGACATTTCCTTACCACTTAAGAACAAAGATAAAACACTTGCAGGCAATTAAAAAAAAAAAATAGCCCAGAATTCAAAAGCTACAATCAGATCAGATCAGAGGTTTATGTCCTTAAGAATCTGATTCTTTTCTGTATCTCAGGGATCAGCCTGTGGCAGAGGCTTCTATCCATTTTCCTCCTTCATAAAACAAGCCAGATTCCACTGCAGCACAGAGTTATATACAGAGATTTTTACTTGCCCCAGCGAAAACTGGAGGAGGAAAAAAACAACTGGTACGTGTTTGTTTGCCTGGTAGATTTTCCTGCATAGGTGGTTGAAAAAAGAATAGGCAGTTGCTTGAGTAGGCATATTTTTAAACTTGATGCCAAGGTTAGGGTTAGAGTCTCTAAGAAGAGCAAAAAAGGAAGGCAGACACACCCCAAGAGTGATAAAGCACCAGCTGTGCTTATATTTTTAATGGCTTTTTTTCTTGTCTTATACAAACACATCTAATTTTTAGCAGGATATTGTCCTTCCGCTGCTTTTCCCTGGAGCTCATGCTTTGTCAGTATCTCCTGCCATAAAATATATACCACATAATAATGATGCAGCAGAGTGCTACATGTCAAAGAGATGACAGCAAGAATTTCATTTTGATGACTCTGCTGCCACTGCAACAGTAGGAATAAAAGCCCTTCAAAAACAGGTGGTCTGGCTGCTCCTAATTAAGGTGTTTAGCGCATGGTGTCAAGAAACAGTATAAAATCCCAACATAATCCATTGAGCAAAGCACAAGGCTTGAGGAACAATGAGAAGTCAGGGGCAATTCCGCTCGCTGAGCTGAGAGTACTTTGTCAGTCACAGCACTGCAATAATAGCACTTTGCAGGCTCCTCCATAACACTGTGCAGGAACTTCTGGGGCATCGCCTCCAGTAGGATGGCTGTGCTGCCTGAGGCAAGAACAAGGACCTCTCCATTTTCCTTGCAAGAAAGGTCAATTCTAAGAAAAGTAGAAATGTCAGCTTTTAAAAAGCCAGCATCCTGGCTACTTGAAAATACCCTAATAAAGACAAGGTAACAGCTTGCTCCTATCTCTTTTATCTCCACCTATTGTAATCTCAGTACTATGCTGTAGGACTCAGCAAACTATTTCTGCAGGCCTGATTCAAGAGCTATCTGTGGAATGACTGTCCGGGACATCCTTTTCAGATACTTAAAAATCCTTAAGGCATCTTCATGGTAAAAAGCTGGAGTCTTCCAGTGCTCTAGGAATGCAGTTCAGTTACACGTCTATTGCAGAAGCAGAGCCAGAATCACAACAGAGCTGTACAAGTTTCTGTAATTTGAAAACTGCAGCAGACTGGGGTCTGCAGTAACCCGTAAGGAGCTGTATTCAGAATGCTATGTGACTGTCTCCCTGGCCTTGCACTATATGCAAGAACATGCAAGATGCAAGAACAGAGGTTCCCTTAGATATAGTGAAACTGTTTGCTTAAAAGAGAATTTTAAAAACATGGGTTGAAGACAGAGGTAACTTGAGAGCATTGTTAGTTCCTAGAAACACTGCCTCTGCCCTTACCAAGCAGGCAAGTTACCACAAAATATGAAGGTCTGTGTAGACTAGTGCACGACAAGTATGGATGTACTCTTGGAGAAGGGAGCAGCCCAGGATCTCCATGCTGGTTGGCCCAGAGCTGCACCCAAGCTCTGTAAAGCACATCCACAGAACAAGTCCCTGTGCCTGGAAAGATCATGGAGCAGATGCTTCTGGAAGAGATGTTAAGGCACATGTGAAATGCTGAGATAATCTGAGACAGCCAGCACATCTTTACCAAGAGCAGATCATGCCTGACAAATCTGATGGCCTTCTGTGAGTGAGTGGCAACATTGGTGGACAAAGGAAGGGCAATTGATGTAATCTCCCTGACACTCAAAGTACTTTGACATGGTCCCACACCATATCCTTATCTCTAAATCAGAGAGATAGGGATTTGTAGGCTGGAGTACTAGGTGAATAAAGAATTGGTTGGGTTGTCATAGCCAGAGGGTTGTTGTCAAGGGCTCTGTGTCCAAATGGAGGCCAATAAGGAGTGGTGCCCCCAGGTCCATCTTTGGAACCTATGCTCTTCATCTTAACAGAGACAGTGGGATTGAGCATATCCTCTAAATTTGCTGATGACATCGTGCTGAGCAGTACACTTGACACAATAGAAGGGAGGAATACCATCACAAAGAACCTGGACATGCTTAAAAAGCGGGCACATGAGAACATGTTGAGGATCAACGTGGGCAAGTGCAAGGTGCTGCACTTGGATCAAGGCAGTTGCTGATGTGATTATGGACTGGGAGAACTCACTGAGAACAACCCTGCCAAGAAGGACTTGGAGATCCTAGTGGATGAAAATCTCAAGCCAGCAGTGTGCTCTTTGCAGCCTGGAAGGCCAATGGTATCCTGGGCTGCATTAGGAGAGAGGTGGCCAGAAGGGAGAGGAAAGGGATCAGCCGCCTCTACTCTACTCCCATGAGGCCCCATCTGTGTCCAGGCCTGGTGCCTCCTGCAAGGAGGGATGTGGAGCTGCTGGAGAGGGTCCAGAGAGAGATTGCAAAGATGACCAAAGAGCTGGAGCTTTTCTCCTATGAAGCTTTCTTTCTGTGAAGAAAGGTTGAGGGAGTTGAGCTTGTTTGGCTCAGAGAACAAAAGGCTGGGGGGAGGCGTCACTGTGGCCTTCCAGTACTTGAAGGGAGCTTACAGGCAGAAAGGAGACTGACTTTTTAGATGGTCTGATAGTGATAGGATAAGGGGGAATTGCTTTAAATGAAAAGAGGGGATGTTTAGATTAGATGTCAGGAAGAAATTTTTTACTCAGAAGGTGATGTGACACTGGCACAGGCTGCCCAGGGAAGCTGTGAATGCCCCATCCCTGGAGGCATTCAAGACCAGATTGCTTTACCCCTGGACAGCCTGAGCTGGTGGATGGCAACCCTGCCCACAGAAAAAGCTGGAATTAGGTGATCTTTAAGTTCCCTTCCAGCATTAGCCATGCTATGATTCTATGATTCTATAAGTTTCCTCTTCAGCCCCCATTTCCAGGGCACTGTAGGCCTGCTGCTTGCTCACTGATGGTTGTTCAACTTCAAGACACAGTTCTCAGTCCTTCTGCTGCAGCTTGCTATATTCGTATGATAACTGGTCACCTCATCCTAACAGCTGTGTTGTAGATTTTCCCCACATTTGCCTTAAACAGAGAGAAATGCTTGACATGTATATCTTCCTGCACTTAATTTCACATGATGATTTTTTTCTACAGCATTTAGAAATCCTGCTTTTAGTCAGCATTTATCCTCACCGCTGTGGCAGTTTCAGAGACTTGCTCGCTTAAGCAACTTTGATCACCAGCAACACCCATGGTGCCTATGATAGAACACAGCAGGACAGCATAAGGCGTAAACTCAGCCACTGAGCTGCATCCACCTTTCTGAAGGGAGCAGGCTTATGCTTCAAGTTCTGCTTGATTCCCCGCACTGATCACAAGCCCTGTGAAAAAATACTTCAGACCTCTTCTCTGGGGCTTTGCAACCACAAACAAACAAACACCCAAGTGCCATCGGTCACACAGCCTGCCTTTTCTAGGCATGTCCTTCACTGTACCTTGGCCTTACCTGGTATTTGTAGGCTCCCAAAATTAGGCATCAGGAGAGCCTGCCCCACACTGACCAGCACACTCGCTCAGTTGCCATGCTGAGCAGAGTTGGCTGCAGCAGGTTCAGAGCTGCAGGGCTCTGCCTGGATGGGCTTTAGATCAGCAGAAGGATTGTAGGCAGTCCTGCCTACTGCAGAATTACAGCACCCTCCTCAGACCAGGTCAGAAGCCTTCACCTCACCTCAGCTAACCTTGACAAGTGTTCATAGTCATGTGTTCATGCATAAATTGCCACTGTTGACTTTAGTTCTTGGAACAGAATGAATTAGATATACTTTAAAGGAATTAAAAAACAAATTATCCTATTTCTTCTGCAAGCAGCTGAAACTTCTGCATCAGCTAACAACACAGCAAGCAGAGAACAGATGTTGGAAATAAAACCTCTTAGATAGACTAAAAACTGTAGCCTCATAGTTCCCCTAGCATTTGTGTTTTATCCCATATTATGAAACAATCCTTTTACAAATTTTACTCCTCATCTGTCAATAGTGAAAGTGCTTCTAGGTCTTGAATTATACATTCAAGACTTGATGAATAAAGGTGGCCCAAATGTTTGAAGACAAAACAAAAATTTCTTCAGGGAAGAGAAAGTTGCAGGCTTTGTGAGTTAAGAGGAATACTTGTCTCAAGAAAACATAACAATTATCATTACAGATTTACCTTTTTTAGTTGTCAACTTGATTAGAACATGTGAGTAAAGTCAGGAGGCAGATGCTACAAAGCTTTGCTGTTTCCTTCAAGACATAAAACGATGTAGTCCTCTAATTCTCCTTTTCCTCTTTCTCCCAGATTGAAGTCCAACTTTACTTGTCACTAAGATTTTTCTTCTGTGGAGAAGAATCCAGAAAAAAGATTCATACTGAGCAATGATTGTTTCATTCCTTGGGAACTGAAGCAGCTGGAGAATACTTTGAGAAAGGACGTCCCAAGGTCACAGTGACAGAAATGGTCCTTCCCAAGTCATGTCATCTGCTGCCAAGCCAAATGTCTTTCCTGTGATTGAATGGGTACAACCAGCCAAAGCGAGTCTCCACTCCTCCCTGTGACTGCCTCCATCTGTGCTGTTGTGCTGGGTCACTTCTCTAAAATCTGCAGCTGTCCCCAAGCTTTGTCTCACATATTTGTTTGTCACACAAGTATTTTTCCACCTGATGGGTCCATTGGCAGAGTAAGTGTTTTGGGGAGTGTCAGTCTCTGCACCTATCCTAAAGCAGGCATTTCTGAATCTGGTTGGGGAAAAGACACTAACTGGTGATCAAGCACTGATGAGGATTCCTATACAGTGCCCCAGCATGTATTTCTCGAAGCATCAATTTGTTTATAATGTCACAAGCACCTTTATCAAACTCCTGGTCTGAGCAGACCTTGAGAAAAAGATCCGCCATGGAAGCCTGTTCTCTTGTCTGCAGTGTAGCCCAGGTGTTCCCATGACTATTAACCTCTACTACAGCCTGCTCTGGGACACCTGGTCTGTCATTTCACCAATCACACTGGACACCTAAGGGAGCTGACAGCCCCTAGCATTAGTTTTTAGCAGTGAGGATCCCTTTGATTTGATGAGTCCCATTGTAAGTGTGTAGTCATTGTAGTCACAAAGGCAGATAGCTGCACTCCTGAAAAGGATATACTCATTTAAAAAAAA